ATCATCTAAACATTAGTTTCACTTTAGCACCTTTAATAGGGTCATCTAAAGGTTAGTTTCACTTTAGCAGAGTTAACAGGATCATCTAAAGGTTAGTTTCACTTTAGCACAGTTAACAGGATCATCTAAACATTAGTTTCACCTTAGCACACTTAACAGGGTCATCTAAAGGTTAGTTTCACTCTAGCACAGTTAACAGTTAGGGTCATCTAAAGGTTAGTTTCACTTTAGCACAGTTAACCCAATGATATACATTCAATACGTAACAGAGGATATCTTTCCATTGTCAAAAATCCCAGTGCAGAGGGATCAAAACAAGATAAGAGGCAGTAGAAAAGAGAAAGTTTAGTTTAAAACCTGGACTGTGGCCAGCAACTTCCTAACATTCTCCCTCCCTCCCCGGCTTCTCTCTGCCACAGATTTTTCATTATTAGTGGGTGTTACAGCCATATTTGCCATAATTAGTAGTATATTTTTGGTGCCATCTCCGGAAAGTCCGAGGTTTCTGTTCTTGCAGAGGAATGACCAAGAGAAAGCAAGACAAGGTACGTCTGGCATTACGGCTTTATGAGCCATTCATCTGGACCAAAGGGAGGATCAGGCCAGTAGCCCAGCTTCTGCCCTTCGGATCTGCAGGACTTGGTGGCTCCTTCCAAAGGTAGTCCTGTTCTACATGTTCTTGTCTTCCCCTCCTCTTCCTCCTCCTTTAGTTTTGAAGAAGCTGAGAGGGAAAGAAGACGTGGAGGATGAGATGTTAGAACTTTATCAAGAACACCTTGCCGAAAGCAACCAGAAGAACATGACAGTGTGGAAACTTCTTCGCTTCGGCAGCCTCCGGTGGCATCTCATCACCGTTGTGGTCTTGGTCTCCGGAAGTCGATTTATCCAAACAAATGCGGTTAGGGACTTCCCCGAGTAACCTCGCATACCATTTGCTTTTTCATGGTTCAAATTTGGAGTCTGTCCAAAGTGACGAGTGTCTGGCTTGTTATCCAGGAACAACGTTTCTGGATCCAGGTCCAGACTCTTCCTGGGCTGCTGGACAACCAAGGGATGGAGAGGCAGCTGTTACAGTTTAAAAAAGGGCAAAGTGTGATGGAATGGGTTCTGGATTCCCAGGAGGGAGGAGCTGCATTCCAGAGACAACGCAGTTATGATAGTTGGTATGAGAGAAATAGGGTGAGGACGGTTCCTCCTCAATAGTTCCCAGAATCTAAGCTTTATGGTGCAATTGTCTGGTATTATTTGGCAAGATTCAGTCTGCAGGTGATGAATCAGAAGAATTTCATTAAGGGTTGTTAGAGCCTGAGCCAATTCTACGTGTGCCTCCATCTGCATCTCTTTTATCTTTGATTGCAGGTTTTACTTTTCGCACAGCAGACCTATAGAATTTTAGGACTATCCGCCAAAGATATGAGGCTCCTTCCCTTAGTAGGAGGCTTGATCGTCCAGATGATGCTTCTGATAACTGTAAGCCACATTAAATCCCTTGATTACTGGCTTGTTTGTGTTCTCAGCTGCCTCCATCACCCCACTGATTTAGAGTGATGTACCCCAAAGCAATGCAACCAGCACGGAGCAGTTCGGACTAGCGAAAACACAATAGCAAAAGTGAAGACTGGAATTATTTTAGCCTCGGTGAAGAATTGTGGGCTCCGTAGTTTGATGATCTATTGATTTGTGTTCTTGGCTGTCCATGGTCTTCTCGGGAGTTTTTCTCCAGGGTCCCGAAGTGTCAATCCTCTTCTGCTTTGTTTTTTTTTCCTAGATCTGCACCATCGAGCCCTTGGGGCGGAGAGTTTTCCTTTTGGGTGGCATCATGATTTGTATCATCTCAAATATTGCCCTAGTTTTCTTTTTTAAGGTAGGTAACATTCCTGATCTCTGCACCGGGCCAATTGAGTGCCCCTCCCTCTTAACGTCCCTGTGCTTTTTCTCACACACAAACCTTCCCAGCCAGTTAAAATTGATCTGGTGAATTTCATCCAGTTGTTCAATTTCACAAGTCCATCCATTTCACCAATCCATCCATTTCACCAATCTGTCAATTTCATCCAGTTGATCAATTGCACCCATCCATCAATTTTATCCAGTTTTTCATTTGCACCAATCCATCAATTTCACCAATCCATCAATTTCACCAATCCATCAATTTCACCAATCCATCAATTTCACTAATCCATCAATTTCATCCAGTTGGTCAATTTCACCAATCCGTCAATTTCAGCCAGTTTGTCTTTTGCACCAATCCATTAATTTCATCAATCCATCAATTTGGTCCTGTTTGTCAATTTACCTATCTGTGAATTTCATCTAGTTGGTCAATTTCACCAATCCTTAAATTTCATCCAGTTGCACCTGTCCATTGCATCAGTCCATCAATTCCAACAATCTGTCAATTTCATCTAGTTGGTCAATTTTCACCCAGTTTGTCAATTTCACCAATCAATCAATTTCAGCCAGTTTGTCATTTGCGCCAATCCGTCAATTTCATCAATCCATCAATTTGGTCCTGTTTGTTAATTTAATCTATCCCTGAATTTCATCTAATTGGTCAATTTCACCAATCCTTAAATTTCATCCAGTTGCACCAGTCCATCAATTTCAACAGTCCATCTATTTCAACAGTCTGTCAATTTCATTCAGTTGGTCAATTTCACCCAGTTGGTCCATTTCATAGTTAATGCCAGTTTTCTCTAGATGGGGTTCTCAAACCCTGTGGAAGATCAGTTGAAGAAATGAAGTTGGGGGTGGGGAGGGTTACTACTTTGATGGTCACCCCACAGGTGCTTCCTTCTTCCCCACAGAGCAACAACCCCGCCCTGGCCTTCATCAGCATTGTTTTGATTATCCTCTTCTTTGTGGGCTACATAACGGGACCAGGTTTGTGATCAGCTGGGCTACGGAGTCTTCGCAAGTGGAAAAAGACCAAGGGAAGTTTCTGCGGTTGTTGCTTAAAAAATAACATTACAAGGCCTGCCCTCTTCTCTCCACCCAGCTTCCATTTTCCATCTGATTATTGGTGAATTGTTCTTCCAGTCATCCCGAGCGTCCGCATTTGTCATTGCAGGATCCGTCAATTGGACAGTCCAAATTTTCTCAGCCTTGCTGTTTGTTCTGACTAAGGTAAGGGACCTTGTAATCCCTTTGGAAATTTAAAAAGTACTGTAATTTTCATATTATAAGACGCCCTTTTCCACACCCTAAAAGAAGGTGGAAATTTGGGTGCATCTTATACACCGAATGTAGCCAAAAATGCGAGGCACGGAGGAGGAGATGGTCTGTGGCAATTCCTGCAGCCTGGGACAGCTGATTGGGGGTGTTCAGCTATTTGGAGGCTAATCCACCCGTCAATCAGCTGCTCATGCTGAATCAGGCTGTGATAACGTGCTGAAGCTGACCTGGCTGTTTGCTGTTTGCTGCAAGGAGGTGTCAGAGTTTGCAGCAGCAATCACATTCAGAAAGCAGACACAAGTAAAGGATTCAGAAGGATTCAATAACTTCTCTTTATATATAATATAACACATGAAGTAAATATACAATACCAAAAGCAGCTTTTCCAACGTAGTATTTTCAGCAGAGGAGAGAAGTTTCACTTCCAGTTTTAGTTTCAGATATCAGCACAGCATGCAGCTTTAGTACAGAACAACCCACGCTCAGGCTCCTTGCTGTCTCCTTCCTTGTTCACACAGCAAAGACTGTTTGCTTCCAAACAGCCCTCAACTCTCTCACACACTGACAGGACGCTAGCCAGATGAATACCATGGATGCTGGTAGGCAGAGGCAGAATCTTTTTTTTCTTATTTTTCTCCCCCAAAACTAAGGTGAGTCATACTCCAGAGTTTCTTATGCTCCGAAAAATACGGTAAATAAAATATATTAAAGAAATGTTTACTTAAAACTCCTGGGGATTTTTTTTCAATACAGAGGTGACCTTCCCATAAAATTCTGTGTGACTTGTGGGTCTGCCAAGTTTGATCACAATATTTCTTAATTTTTGTTTCTGTCTCTAGTCCTACCTTGAGACCTACTACTTGCTCCTTTACTGGCCTTTTATCATCCTCGCCTTTATCTACATTTTCTGGAGAGTCCCAGAAACCAGCGGCAAGACATTTCAAAAGATCCAGGAGAACATGGCGGCGTATTCCAGAAAAATAGTGGCTGAATAGAAACAGGAGATCTCTTTCTTCCCTCTGTTTTCAAAGTTGATTTTGGAATTAAGAAATGAAGTAAAACCAGAAGTTCTCTTCAAGCTGGATGGATTTATTTGTACTGTTTTTAGCTCCTCTACACTAGTTTGGGGGGGGGGGATTGGATTATAAATTTAGCAGAGCTGTTGGGAGTGTCAGCCCTGCGAGGTAGGCCAAGGCAGAAAATCAATCCTGTAGGAAGGCTTTAAAAAATTCCATTATTGAGATTAGCTATAAAAAGAACATCTCGCAAGCCCGATTCTGCTTTATCCCATTTTTCTGTTGCTCCAATGAACCAGGAAGGCACTTCCAAATATTGTCTTATTCCCCAAAGGACATAAAATAATTTCCCACCCTTTTTAGCTATAATTCTTGCATATTTCTGCCAAGGTGGTTTTCCTGACTCCATTATTAGGGGAACAATTCAGCTTGTAGCTCCCATTATATAAGAAATGGATTGCCTCCTCTATCCTCTCCCCTTCTCTCCCTCAGGCTTGCCTCACAGTAGCCCCACTTATCCTATCCCCTTCTCTCCCTCAGAACCACTGTTCCCTCTAAGGTGCGCGGCTGCGCGGCCGCGCACCTTGCAAGAAAGCCCCGNAGACAGAATAGCCGCCTACAGCTTCCTGCCCATCCCCTTTTGTCAATGAGCCATTAAAGACTGAGCTAGTCCACTTTACATAATAAAAAGAGTTCTCCCATTCAGCTCCAGAGTGATGGGATTAAGGCATTACCCAACTCACCACATGGCATCTGAGAACTCAACCAAACCTGGATTCAAAACGCAGCCTAGAGAATTATCCCTGCATGGCTCCATGGGAGTCTGACAACCAATTAGAACACAAGCTCAAGATCAAAGGCCAGAGGGGTATAAAACCAGGGACTCAGCTTCTCTTCCTCCCTTGCCTTCCCTTCTCTTCTCCACCAACATTGAAGCATGTGATCACTTTTTCTGTTCAGGACCCAAGCCATGTGGTCCTGTCCACCATTAAAACCATCTTTCCAAGCAGACTCCATGTCTCCAGTGTCTTTTTCCCCACTTGGAGCTGAACCCAGAAGGACATTTCTTCCAACACCTTCAATGGTTTTTACCATTCTGAAGCAGTCAAGATGCTCTGAAAATGTTGCCACTGTAATGTTTATTTTTAATTTCAGATGAATATTTGCTATTATTGAACTCCAAATTCTACAGCTAAAGTCAAAAGTTATAATAACACAATGATTACTTGATAATTGTAATAAGTGCAAATTTACTTGCATCTATAGAAAAGAAAGTATTTTTCAGAATAACCTATGAGAAATTTATTAGTTTCTTTTTTCATTTTGATGCTCTTGTGATCCTGGCCCACGCAGGGTGGAATGCCCTGCTGATTCGACAGCTAAAGGAAGTGGGGACTTCTCTTCATATTGAAGGCTGTATGTCTTTGTTTTACTTTTCACAAGTTCTCTTGATGTGGTATTTTAAAGGTTACAAATAGAAGAAATTTAGAGATAAAAATAAGCAGGTTTTATAAAGCACAAAAAAAAAGTTCCAACACAACTTCACTCAAACAAGGGAAAAACATAAAGTAGACAAAGATTTTTAAGCAAAACAGATATCATGAGAAAAAACCCATGTGGGAACAAGTGAAATTTCATGCTTTGCTTCTTTTTATATTTCAATGGTATTAGTATGTTTTTAGCATTTATTCCTCCTAATATCTAATATTGTCCTGGTGGCAATCAACCT